GCTTCAGCTAACCTCCTCCTGCGGAAGACTCGGTCAGCCTTATCAGCCACCATTTGTAGAATCCCTCTCCGCTGTGTCGATCAGTAGAATCCCGCACCATCGCGTCGATTTCATAATTCCACCGCACGTCGGTCTGCAGAATCCCCCACCACATCGATCTTCAATACCGCATCTCCGGGTCGATCTCCAAATCCCCAATCGTTGGCGATGGAAGTTCTCAATTCATGTAAGGTGGTAACTGCAATCCCACGACCGTTAACTAACCGCAACCCCGTTGGCGATGGAAGTTCATAATTCCACTACGGGGTCGTTTGCTTGAGGGTTTTGGTGATGGATTTGGTCATGGAAATATATCCATCATGGACTTGAACCGAAATCCATCGTTTGCCTTAGGGAATTAGGGAGATGGAATTTGTGGGGTCCACCACTTTTGGGGTTCCAAATCCGTGGACCCCACGGACTTGGAAGTTCCACCTCTTGAGGTGGGATTTGGGTGATGGATTAAAATCCATGATGGTAAATTACCTTTCTACCCTTAATTATTTATTTGATTACAAATTTGTCCTACTTTAATTCAATGGTCATGCAACTGTAAACTTTTATAATTTTGTATTTTATAAATATGAGAATTTATCATTTCATTTTGTAATATCGTATTTTATTTAAATATGAATGTATATGTGATTTGTTAGATTCACCTAGAAACACTTTATGCTCATCTTGTACATTATTATTTGATTGATTGTCGGATTCCACATTGGTGAGTTAGCAAGAAGATGATGAGTTGTAGCAATAAAGCGAGCAATTGGCTGCAATTGATACATAATATTGCGTACATTATTAGATGAATTGTTTTTTTATGAAGGATTATTAGATGAATTTTTTTTTGGTGAGATATTAGATGAATTTTTAATTAGTGCCAAGATGAATTGTTAATTAGTGTCATATTGTAATACATTTCTATATTTGTAGTTGAATTATTAATCCACATAGTGGTAAAGATTTTAAAATTTCTTTCTATGTTTTGGATTAGTTTTAAATGAAAGATTTGGATTATAATATAGAAATATAATTAAATAAGGGTAACTAGGTAATTTGTATTTAATATCCACAAATCTAATCAAAGAAAGTCCATAATCAAATCCATCAAGCAAACAATAGACTTGTTCAAATCCATAATGCCACCAAATCCATCATATATCCATGGTTTTCCAAAATCCAGCTTTTACCAAAACCCTCATTTTTCAAATCCATGAAGCAAACGACCCGTACATCTATCTTCTTTCTTCCTTCCTTCCTCTTTCGAGAATTGAGTTGAGAATGACTTTCGCTTTGGGTTTGGCCTCTCAATCAATTTTGTTACTTTGTTGGTTTCCCCATGGAGTCACTCCCTTTCGTCAGGTTCCGGCTCATTTTCACGTTGTCGGCGTTCTTCTCAATAGTCGATGTACCCCTCCTTCTCTCTTCAGATATGGATACACCCTCCCTTCGTCGACGCCGTCATCGTCATCGCCACCATCAAATATTGCTTATCATGTCGCCGCTACCGTTGTTCCTTCTCTCATTTTTTCGCTACCACGAGGAATAAAGAGGATCAAGGATCGAAGGAGGAGAGCAGAAGAAGAGAGGGTGAGAGGAAGAAGAAGAATCGAGCATCAAGGGTGTGTTGTATTTGGTACAAATAGATTATTTGTGGAAGAAGCAATCACCCAACTTGCCAAACTAGAAAATGATATATTACTTCAAAGGAATCATGAACGTCCCATGAGTTCTAAGCAAAATATGAGGAGCATAAAAATCAGTATACGATGAAGAAAGTTTTGAAGATTGCATTTTTAAGGCATAATGTGTGGAAATAATCACAACTAAAGGAGATGATCTAGTGGTCTTTAAGTCAAGAAAAGTCTTTATGGTTCTCCGAACCAAAGATATTTTTTGTGGATCAAGATGTAGTGAAAATTTGAAAAGAAGAAATGATAACCTCTTGCTGAAGATATGAAATAGAGATTCTAATTTCGACTTTCACCCAAATACAATTGGAGAGTGGAGGAAGGCCACAGGAAATGTTGAAGAGCATATGTCCAAAATAGGGCAGACACTAGTGGATGACATTATGTGAAGATCATCCTGACAAAGTATTTTCTAGCACTGATGATTTCCTTGGTATCTGATCAAAGGAATCTAAATAATGTGAGGTGTAGTGTGTTATGAGCTGGCAAACAATAGCAAAGGCACCAGCTGTCCTAATGAGTTGGCAAACAATACCACAGGCACCAACTCTATATATAGCCAACTTGTGAGTGTTTGTTTTTCAAGTTTTAGAAGGGAGTTTCACAAAGAAAAAGGAGAGAAAACGTATAACGGTTGAGAGGAGAGTATTGTGTAATAAGCCACTCTGTTTGAATCATATAATCTATAAACGTTCTGAGTTTTCATCATTAATTTATCTCAACCACCTCTAATTTCTTGATATAACTGTGTGACTTTCCTAACATTCCTGTAGAGAGGAATGTCGTCACAGTCAAACTTCGAATAAATTCAAAGAGGCAACTCGAAGACACAGAAGAATCTCAAAAAAGAAGCTGGTGACGAGCAAGAAATATAAAAAGTGGAAGCCTAAAGGGCCTTATCCATAGACCGGGTATATGATACTAAAACTTCCATAGTTATTTTGTGCATGAGTATTATTTTACTATATTCTTATATACGTAAAGATTGCCAATATCCATGTTATTTTGATATAGAATATGCATGGAACAGGTATAGTCCTGTTACTAGTATTTTAAACAATATAATAGATTTTTTTATCATCTTTATTTAATAAGATAAGCAAGTTTTCAATAATTTGGAAGAATGGACTCTTAGAGTGAATTTGAAGACTTGATCTTCAAGAGTCAATCCACTTTGTGATTTGCTGCTAGTTCTCGAACGTAGCTCCTCTGACTTCGAGAGGTTGAATAACATTCAACAAGAAGGAAGAAAATAATTTAATTGACAAAAGATCTTTGAGTAGTTCATATTCGGAGCATACTCACCCTAGTTGGGATCATAGCCTAATGGGTAAACAATTTCTAAAACTATACTTTTAATAAGTTCAAAAGGGGTTTCTGAAATTTGAAAAAACAAAATATTTCAGGAATATTTTGTCAACTCTAACTTAGTTAACTTAACTGTAAAGTTAAGTGATACCGAATACGCACAATAGTGAGTTCATTGGCATAAAGTGCCCTAATTAAAGTTAAGAGGCACGCATCCACCAATTCAAAAAATTGAATGGCATCGTAAGTATTTTACCTGTGATATATATAGTCTGGCTGGCGATACAAGACGATGAAGTTATATGAATTATTGGAATGAATAAACAGTAAGAGGGAGGCTGCTGGCAAGCTCAACTAGAGCAGATCGACCCCGCGCATGCCAGTAATAATACGTACGAATCCAAAATAGATCCAAATGTAACCCGCCTTTTAATTCTGTACAGACTAAAAAAAATTCTTTCCAAAATATATTAAAGTGACATGAGAACGGATTAGGTCAGTAACTCTATGGTCAGTAATCATGAGTAACCTGTCCACATCAGCATGGCATCAGTATCTTCTCTCTCTTGAAAAGTCTTTTATATATTCCCCTTTAATCTTTAACGGACGATTTCTCTCTCGTTTTAAGTAAAATTTAATTTTTTTGCACAGATAAATCAGATTAAATGTGCTCTTTAAAATTATATACACTTTGATATATTTTTAGTACAAAAAAAAATTGAATAATTTTTTACCAGTCATTACCATATGGTATGCTCCTATTTAATACCATATGGTAAGAAAGCGTACCATGATGGTATGAACATATCAATATGGTAAGAAGCTTGAATACATGATAGTAGGAGTATACTAATTGTCATTTACGACTTTCATCATTGTTTACTACAAGTTACCACCCACATACCATAGTGGTAAAGTATGGTAATTTTTTATCCATTATTTTTTTCACTCAGAAATTTATAGATCCAATAGATCATGATGAACTCGTTCCTTCTCAGCAAACGTTTTCAAAACGACTTAAAAACGAAGAAGTTACCGTATGGTATGTAGTTGGTAAAAAAAAGTTTCTCTAAATATATTGAAAATTGATCTCATTTTGTAGAGCACAACGAACTCGTTCCATATGTGCAAAAAAAATGAAATCCGAGTTAGAACGAAGAATATAAGAGTCGATTAAGAAAACTAGGGAAAATAAAATGTTTTTAATTGACAACCCTTAGATCTGAATTTTCTAGACCCACTTAGATCTAAAGGTCCAGATTTAGTTACTCATAGGTCAGTAACCAATGGTTACTGACCCTATCCTAAACCGTTATCTTGTACGCCATACGAAATATTTGAAATCCGAATTAAAACACAAGAGAAATGTACTAACCATATATGGCATAATTTTCCTTCTCCAAAACTATTTTCGTGTGTTACTCAAAAAAAAACTATTAGATATTTCTCATTGACTTCCATTTTCATTCAATTGACTAAATTAATTTTGTAATAAGCAAAAGCCCTTACCATTTGACAACTAATCTCCACTCGGAATACACTAACCATCATCTACAACCATTTTTACATCTCATCAATCAAATTTTATCCAACTTTACGCCTTACCTCGCCATACGTGTAACATCCCGAACCTTTTCCCGACAAGATACTGTCCGCTTTGAGCCTCTACACCCGCACGGATTTGCCTTGGGGTGCAATTCAAAATGACTTCCCATAAGATCACCCATCATTGTTGTACTCCACACTGAGCACTGTTAACTTCGGAGTTCTCACAAGAACTCCTCTATTTCACCCCAAAACGCGTCTTTTCAGTTAAGGTCGGTTTCTTACTTATGAACCATGAATCTCTCTGTGCTTTGTCGATGTGAGATTTGCCTAAGGTATTACATACACTTCCCTTGGGACTCAACGCCCTCGTTAAGATTTTCCCCACCATCGTTCAAGAGGGACGCGAAGAGGCTCTGATACCACTTTTAACATTCCGAACCTTTTCCCGACAAGATACTGTCGGCTTTGGACTTCTACACCTACACGGTTTTGTCTTGGGGTGCAATTCAAGATGACTTCCCATAAGGTCACTCATAATTGTTGTACTCCACATTGAGCACGTTTAACTTCGGAGTTGTCACAAAAACTCATCCATTTCACCCCAAAACGCATCTTTTCAGTTAAGGCCAGTTTCTTACTTGTGAACGTGGATCTCTCCCGTGCTTTGTCGATGTGGGATTTGCCTAATGTGTTACAATAAGTATCCATATTAACAAACACACCAAAAAAAAAGTTAATCTCTGCTGCAAATTAATAAAATCACCGCCACCCTTCAACCACCACGTCAAACACCAGTAAGGATTACATGACTTTCAGAAACGGCCAAACAAAACCCCCAGCTTTCCTCACGGCCAGTCAAGTCGAGCATCAACGCTACAATTACGGTGAAGAAGCAGCAGCTTCAGCTTCGAAGCAATGCCACAGTGGCAACCCTTGATCCCACCGATCCCCCAAACATGAACGTAGGATACGTTCGAACATGATCTACATATCTGAATTGACAAGTAGCTGCTGCTGTTGCTGCTTCCTGCTCCTTTTCTAGAGATGCTTCACCTCTCCTTTGATTGAAGTTCTCGACTTCTTGCATTAGTTCATCTTTGGTACTGTTACACGAGGTGATGACCTGCAATCAGAAGAATCGTCAATCGGCATCATCCTCTTAGTGCCGCCAATGTTTGGACGTCCAAAACTGCTTAGTGATAAAAAAGTGAGTTCTGTTCTGCAAGGGGTTCAGAAAATCTTGAGCCTCAAATTTTAGTTCCTTTCTTTTTCTTTCAACAGACGAGCCGAAATAAACATGACTAGCTGAGGCCGCCACCAATGAGGAGAAAAAAGAAAAGAATTGAGGCTCACCAACAGACCACCAGGAGCAACCAGCTTTGACACCGAGTCCCAGTACATGACCCTGAATGAAAATCACAAGGAAAATAATCAAAGCTCAGTAGCTGAAATTTTCTAGGAGAAAGTGGGAAAGTCCGTGTGACTGCCAAGGAATGAAATTACGAATTTCCTTCAAAACATTACACTGTTGAAGATTCTACTACAAGGGTGAGGATGAAATCTGACCTCTTTATAGGGCCATCTGGATGCAATCCGATAGCGTCTAATGTCCCTTTATCAATGACAATACGGAACTGTCTCTCTAACTTTGTCTCCAGTATATCATCAACCTAAGAGCAAAACCATTAGGGACCTCTAGGAGTTCAAGAAAACTATCCAAAAGCTGTTATCATACAAACCATAGAGAATATGTGCGAATCACCATGGTTAAAAAAGCAACTCCATAAGCAGCAATTTAAATTTCAAACCAAAACACTATTTAGCAATTACAATCTCGCCTACTAGACGGTGTGGGAAACTCGGAGGTGTGAACAGGGGGGGAAAGAAACTTCAAGTTTCTAGGTATTTGGCATGTTCAGTTTTGGAGCAGCCTTATCGATAAGGCATACTGTAACCGCCAACCAGTTCAACCAGGGTTTCACTGAAAATCTTCTGCTGTCTTGAAATTAAATTAGCTATAACACTCTGCTCAGCATTCACAGCCAAAAACAACCAAGCCTCCCTATGTGTGCATGTGCGTGTGAGGATCATTCCATGGAAGCAAACGTTCACATTTAGGGACAATTCATATACGATAAAGAGGTTACCCTTATGGGGAATTAAAGTATTTTCTAGGATAACATTTGAGATGTATTCAGATATCAAAATGGTAAACTGTGCAAATAGATCATATGCCACTTTTGAGGACAGACCCTAAGGTTATGAATCTCACGGCAGTCATGAATCACCTACCATATCGGTCAGAATAACTGCACGGTAGGAGAACCAACGCACATGGAGTTACCTCCACATCACAAGATCCGTCAGTGAAAGACAAAAGATATATACTCCCTTTAGGACTAGCTCAGATCCATACTCTTCAGTTTTAAAATATGCCAATGAAGATGGGGGGAATTCTAAGAAATTCTTGTCCCTCAACAAGATGTAGGAAATCATCCATCTTGATATAGAGTATATCATGTCTTCATGGCTAGCCATACTGCAATATGTAATTTACTGAATCATTTAGCCATTGGAGTCTGGAGACACGTTTCCCATCAAGAACAGGAGGAAAGATGAGAACACCACATACACTCCAATATACTGAGCAAAAAATATTATTTCATGTAAGACAACAATTTTAAGTATAAGCTGCTTAATCTCTCGTGTATAAACTATGAATCCAGTGAAAACAAAGCTATAGAAATTAGAAAGTATCCATGTCACCACGTAAAAAATGGAAAATATGATCTTGAAAAGGAAATCAAAACTGAAAAACTGTCTGGTATCTATTTCCCACTTCACATTCTGCCAATGAAAGAGAAAGTAGGAACCAATTTGCTTGCTCAAACAAATCAAACAGGAATGAACATACAGTAATTTCCAGATAATAGCCCAAGGGTAACTAACATGCTTCACGTACCAGAAAATTTATATTGGAAAACCCGTCACGATCAGCCAGATTTTGTGCAAGTTTGATTGCCCCCTCACTATAATCAACCCCAGTTAGATCAGAGAACCTGAGAACACAAGATGCGAACACAACTTTGCTTTGTTACCCTGGTTGAACACATCTTCCACTCTTATCAAATTCATAGAGGCATGGAAACTCTGGCACATGGCTTAGACAACTAGCATCCCAGAGAATGGGAAAAGATAAACTGCTGTTTTGACATGAGAAACCACACACAAAAATTTGTTACAGATGTAAGCAGTGGATTTCTACGTTTTCCAAGGAGAAGAAACCATAGAAATTTTGTAGTACTTAAAATTTTGATAATTTCATGCCAACATCATCATATTACACCCTAATTCCTGTAACACTACTTTCTGAAACCCAATGTAAATTAAACACTTAAAATAAGTCATAAGAATGTCCTGCAGAAGCTATGTTATGATTATGAAATGACAGTACTGTTTGTTATGGAGGACAGATTTAAATTCACAAAACCACATATGTTAAATAATATATAAGATTGATTTAGCATGTAATACCAGAACTACAAGCAAAATCTCAAAGTGTACCCCTGCTTGGCAAGCTCCTGGAGTAGCAAACCATTGCCTGTCCCAACGTCAAGCACACTCCAATCGGAAAAATACTTGTCACCATCTTCAACAGATGAAGATGTGTTATCGCTAACATGGTTTGTGCTGTGACCTTGGGAGATGTCAATGCACAACCTTTTTGTCCAAGAAGCAACAACATCCATGACATCACCCCCAAACCTACATGAGTATCAAAAAATAAAGTAACAAGAGTCAATAATGCTGTAGATTCCATCACATGAACAAGCATATAGACCCAAATACATTTCTGTAAACAATAAAATGCAAGACACTATCTTATGGTCAAGTTATGTTGTTACAATTGAATAATAGATATCATCTCAGTTTCCGACCAAGCTGACAATAAAAGGCTAGCCTTATTAGATGTCTATATGCACAGATAAATACTAACCATACTTCACCAGCATGGCCATGTTCGCGGAAATTTGATAACTCATCGGCATATGCAGAATCCCAGTAACTCTGAAGACCGAGCATTGATGTCACAACTTCAGCATCTGGCTCTTCCTTGTCAGAACTGCACACAATAAGAAGGTCAAAAGTTTGGAACTCTGGAGGTCGGAGCTCTGAGATCATCCCAATATATTAAAAGGTGAAGCACAAGTGCGACAAATACAAAGGTTAAGCCCTAATCTCATTTCATCTAAGCGTGTCTCGATTTTTAAAGATAGGTGTCCCAGTAGTGATGATAGAATCTCCATCAAACTAATTCTGCTCATGCAGCAAAGTTCACACATTTCCAGTTTCGATTCTTTTATGCAATATAAGAAAAACATAAAGCAGACCAAGTACCACTGTCTTAAAAAATGAGGCCTGCAAAATATACTTCCACACTGAAGAATTGCTGACTAAGTTCTAGGTCTCGTTGGAAACGCTGAAGAATTGCAAGGTAACACAGTGGCGCAAAATCACAATGCAGAATCATCTATAGCACGATCATATATCAAAGGAGATCAACAGTATGCATAGGGCAGACTGGATACATTCTCACAGCAATGAAGAGCAAAAACGAAAATAAATCCAGATGGAGGGATACCTGTAATCTGAGGCAGCACGGAAGTTGGCAGCGCAGAGTGCATCGGTTGCATCGGCATGGCGCTGCTCGTCATCGAGGGTGCTTCCATAGTCGCTCTTAATGGACCAAGAATCGGCGGCTACGGACCTGTCATCGTCGGAGACCAGATCACTGGCGACGGCCGATGCAGCTCGGATTTGCTGCTGAGAGATGTCGGATTCTTCCGGCAGCATACGCATTCCGGCCATACGCAAACCCTAATACTGGGGAAGATTTTTGAAATCGACAAGGGGGTTTTGTTGGTAGCTTTCGCGGCAGAGTGGGTGAAGAAGAAGAAGAGAGTATTTGTGGGGAACAATCCACGATTCGTTCTTATTATTTTGGGCTAATACCACTGGAAATACCATCCTTTAGCGAAAGTACCATTAATATTACATCGTTTTCGATATGCCATTTGTATACTAAAATGTTTTCTCCGTTAGTTGGACCATTAAACATAACTGTGCGACTTTTCAACACCCAATCAGCGCTTAATAGAATCCTACGTGGCTTGCTGATGTGACTTATTTACTAAAATGAAAAAAAAAAAAAACAATTCTCACCTCCCAGTCCTTCCACCTCCACTAATCTCATCTTCTTCTCCAAATTTCCCCAACCCCCCTAAAAAGCCAGCACAGCTCCGCCTCTGCAGCCGGCAAATCCACCACGCCAACCGCGGCCGCCGCTCCAGCTGTCACCCCAACCTCTTCCCCGGTCACGTCCCTCCTCCCAAGACCATCCCATCTCCTTCCACTTCAACCCACTCTACACTACACCCAAAGCAGCTCTGAGCCCTCCAGTCCCTTTGCATTCCAACGGCCAAAGATCTCCTTTCGGCCCAGGAGCTTGTTGGCCGCCATCTTCATCAAACCCTCGTCGTGTCTTTACTAGGTAACGACTCTTCCCCCGACAACGACTATTTTGTAAGCTAAGATTCCTCTCCAACGAAGGCGGAGCCGAGCAGTGGCAATGGCAATGGCGGAGGATGAGAGGGAGGGATTTTTGTGGAAGAGTGGCGGTGACGATGCCGATTGAGATTTGTAGATCTGCCGATTAGATCTGCCCTCGCTATCGGTGATCCAGAACCCAATTGATTGCAGAATCCACCAACCCTTTACTCATCAACGAGAACAAGTAGAAGTTCCCTCTGAGTTTGATTCCTTTGCTCCAAGGACAAATCCGCCCTCCGATCGTCGAGTTCGAGTCACACTACTAGCGCTCCTGAAGAAGGAGGATCGCCATCTCCCTCTGTCGTCTCTTTAACCAGGACGGAAGACGAAGAAGTTCCTGTAGATCTGGCATCAGTGAGCCAGTGAAGGAAAGGGTCGGCTTGAGGATTCCCTTTTGACTTCACAAAGTAGTAGAAAGACTCTAATTCCCCACTGGAACCGAAGAAGAAGACTCGGTGGCTGTGAGAAAAAAGTGAAGGCGGCAACAAAGGGCTGGCGGCGATGAGATGCGGTAAGGAACGCCAACCTGAGTAGGGTATTACATCCCTGTTAGCGAAATCAATCCTCATAGCTCTCAAGTCGAAGAGGGTGGTATTGTTTTAATTGCCAAACTTTGCGACAACAGCGGCGACGCTTCTCTCTGCGGGTTGCTTCGATTGGAATGGGTGGGTGGGGAAGATGATGGAAAATTAATATTATTAATTATTTGTTTCTGAAAGTTAAATTAATATTTTTTAAATATTAATTTCCTACATGGCACATATGTGTACAACACCTAAGAGCCACATAAGCAATAGTCAAATATAAGATGACCACAGTTAGGTCAACCGTCAATTCTAACGGTCAACAGAAATTCGCGTAACACAAATGACGCAAATCCCTAATACGTTGGGATATTTTTGTGATTATTGAAACTACGTAATATAAATGGCACTTTCGCTAAAGGATGGTATTTCCAGTGATATTAGCCCTATTATTTTCTTCTGGGTTTTGCAATAAGAAGCGTCGATTATTATTATTATTATCTGCTGGACTTACTCATAAGCGGTCTGGGCTGGGGCACTGGGCTAACCATCAGGGTCCTTCCTTGTAACCCATCATGATTCTTGATCCATTAAGTTCCATTTTGATAAGTTGGTAGGGGTTAACTGGTTTCCCTCTTTTTCATTCTCTTCACCTTCACCTTTCACTAATGTAGACCTAGCAAATTACAACCCGACTCGTTGATCCAACCAGAAACTGCCCGAAAAATAGAAATTTTTAGAACCCAGAACCCTAATGATCCGAACCCGATTAACCCATTATTTATGGATCGGGTTGGGTGGTTTAGCTGGTTGACCCATTAGACCCATTCCATTTCATGCCACTCACAAAAAGACAAGGGGGTCATTTGGATCCAGGTTTTTAATTTGTGGGATTTTGGCTCAAATCACTGGTTTAAAAGCCCAGGTTTTTAATTTGTGGAATTTGTGTGGGATTTCAAAATAGCTGATCACCATCAGCTATTTCATAATCCCACAATTGTGGGTTTCTAAAATCTCTAATATTTAAAATCTCTTATCATATAATTGCTTTCCAAACGAGTGATTTTAATAAAATCCCACATTATGTAGGATTGTGCCCAAATCCCACACCCAAAACCTGCATCCAAATGACCCCAAAATCATGCCTGAATTGGTGAGATGTTTAAAAGAATTCACAAGAATTTGAAAGACATGTTTGGAGTTTAAGAATAATCAAATATCATGTGTTTCTTGTAGTAGTATTACTTTTGTGATTGTTTTTTGACGATTTGTTCAATTTGTATTTCATTTCATTAGCATGGGAGGATTTGAGAATATTTTAATTGGCATGTGTTAGGTAAATTATTGTCATGCATATGTGAAGATTTGTGTTCTTTACAAAAATATGAAGCATGTGTGATATTGTTTCTAAGAGCGCTCATAACCCGAAACGACCTGTAACCTGATCCAAAACCCAATGGGTTCAGTCAATATTTGCCCGAAATAAGCCAATCCAAGTATCCAACATGACCCGACCCAAAACCCGAAATTACCCAACCTTACCCAATTTTCAGATCTGCACTGCACTAATGGGTTCATAGGCCTTCCAAGGGGCGAGATTTCATCTAGGAGCAAGTTTTTGCAGCACCAAAGGAGAAGAGAGAAGAGCTCAGTGACGCAATTTCAATCGGTTGTACTTACTTTCCATTTCTCCTTGCAAGTTGGTGAATGGATTGATTTCCTTCAGCAGAATACCCCGTGTTCGGTTTTGACTTAACTTCGTGGTTTGGCCTTATTTTGTTGATGGTGCAGTGAAGCAAGGCTCGCATAGAGCAGGTGGGTGAGTACTTCAGGATGCAGCAGGGTCGCTTCTAGCCTGTGCAGCCAGATAATATCGAGGTGTGGATGATCCCTTCCTTGTTGAAATTTTTGCGTTGCGTGATGCTATTCAGTTGTGTGTGGATAGAGGTTGGACTTCTGTAAGCTTCCTTGGAGATGTTCAGCTCGTCTTTGATAAGGTTGTTTGTAATATGGCGGAGGATAGCGAGGGGTGCAATTTTGCGGGAGATTAGTGGCTTGTGGCCTTGTTTCCCTAGTTTCATTGTGTCATTGTGGGTCGAGTTAGGAACAGGGACATTCATCTTGTGGCACGAAAAACCCTTTCATTAAGATCACCATTGTTGATGGGTTTAGATTTTATTGCGTGGCTTTGGTCATTTTGAGTTTTAAACATTTGTATCCCTATTTCTTGGTAACACGAGTTTTCTATTGAAAAAAACATAAACGGACACTGGAGAGTAATTTTGTATTCTTAAATATATAAAAATTGACGTAATCTTGTGAAGCAAAATGAATTCCAATTTTCAAATTAAACGAGATGATTCATGTAAAATAATGAGAAGTGGTTATACACCAAGTTATTTAGGTTGTGTTATTCAACTTAAATTTTCCCGAAGTTCTCTTACAATTTGCTAATATTTTTATGGGCGTTTTGCCTTTAAAAATAGTTTACACTCATTTGTTTCTTGATAAGGATTTAAAGTAAAATAAAATCAATTGCGTTCTCTTTGTCGCTCCATGTTATGTCCTGCTTTAAACTCCCTCTCTCTGCCGCACTCTAGATAAACATGTGACTAGATTTTGGTGGGAAGTGAAAGGGGGTCGCCCTCGGATTAGGTGGAACTCCTGTCGGAATTTGTGCACGAGTAAACATAATGGGGGGATGAGATTTCGGCGGTTCTAGCATTTTAATCAAGCCCTCATGGCTAAGATTGGATGTTGGATTCTCAACGAACCTGATTCTCTCTTGGCCCAAATATATAAAGGCAAGTACTTTCCGAATGGTACATTCCTAATAGCGACTGTGCGGTCTAGCCCATTGTGGGGGTGACAAAGTATTGTCCATGGCCACCTCCTCCTCCAACAAGGACTCTGGTGGCAGATTGAGAATGGGCTCCAGTCCTCTATCCAATATTCTAGTTGGGTCATGTATGCTCATCATCATCCTCCTCTTTGCAATCCTCATGTCATTTCCGAGGGCAATGACCCGAAGGTGACCGAGCTTATAGTTCCTGGAGGGAGGATGGTGTCGACAATCTCTTCAGCAGATGTTTCACTAGATGTAGCATGTGCCATCATGGCATTTCCCCTACCCCGTATGGGTATAGAGGATAGATTGGTATGGCATGATACGTGTGATGGAGTAGTGTGGCGCCCCATGGTGAGTTGGATGGATAGGGAGAGTTGGATGAGAATGTGGGAACTCAAGATCCCGCCTAAGTAAAAATTGTTCCTGTTGCAAATTTTCAATTGTACTCTGCCTACTACTAAATCTTTGGTTGAGAAAAGGGTTTGCCTTGATGCCCGATGTGATGGGAAAAATCTGAAACGATGAAGCACCTCTTTTGGGAGTGTCAAATCGATACAGATCTTTGGACTCATTCGGGATTAGAGCATCTGGGGCACGATTTGCCACGACAGACATTTCATTTTTTACTTAAAAAGTACTTGCTTCGGATAACCTTGTCGGCTCATATTATGGCTCTGGTGGCGCTCCTGTGGCGTATTTAGAAATCTAGAAACCGGGTTGCCTTTGAAGGCAAGCAGTTCTTGATTCCTCAACTGATGCGCCAATACTATCAGCAACTCCATGAATGGGTGTCCTTACCAGAGGATAGGTTGGTCCGGGATTGGTTTCCTTTGCAACGGAATCTGGAGGTGGAAAATTTTCCCTTTGTTGTCTGTATGTGAGATAGTGCGGTATGTGTTGACTCACATTCAGCGGGAGGGTTGATCTTAAAGGATGGAGGAGGGTATGTGCTCTTAGCAAGAGGAATGGCTCTTGAAAACATTGTTGACCCTCTTGTGGTGGAGACTATTGTCCTCCGTGAAGCTATTCTGTGGTGTCAGAATCTTGGCATTCCTCAAGTACCCTTTGAAGGTGATGCGAAGGTGCTCATTGATAAGATTAATATCAAGGATGCGCAAGACAGCCGTGTTGGGGCTATTATCCAAGAGATTCTGCGTCTGATGGCTCTGAATAGTGGTTTTCGTGGATGGGATTAGCAATAGGCTAGCACATTCAGTGGCTAGGAAGGTCCTTTTTTATCTCCGATTTCGTGTCGATTGTATGATTTTCGTGTCTAGGTTTGGTCCAGAGTGTAATCCGTTATTTTTTATCAATCAATATGATTATCTTTTGTTAAAAAAAAATGAATAATTATTTAATCTAAAGGTTGATTTCAATTTAGAAGTCTCAAAGAGTTGATTAGCAGGATGGAATTTCCCTTTTCCCTTCGATAGCTTTGAAAAACTACGAATTGTCCAGAAGAATACCATAAAAGAGTCCAATCCCTTGTAGAGTTACTCCAAACTCTTATCAATTGTTCTATTTAGAACGTACCTATCATTTGAATTCCTTCCTACCGCAACTCTTTGTTTATATATATATATATATATGGTGACTTCTACGGTACCCCGGGTGAAATCTGGGGTACCGCATACCTTGAGTATGAAAACGCTATCTAGACCTCGAATTAGCAGGATTTTTGGGCATGATACTATACCCTAACCCTTAATGAGTGAACCCTAGGTCCTAATTATCTAAATCATAAACTATAAACCCTAAGATGGTGCATTGATTTTTTTGCCTATATTTGGACGGATCATAACCGTCGATTATTGCTTCTAATTAAATTGATCTTGGGGTATAGGATTTTGAGAATTAAGACCTAGATGTTGATCTTCAAGGATTAGAGTATAGTATCATCTCCGAAAAATCAGTCAGTTCAAGTTCTGGATAGCGTTATCTTACTCAAGGTATGTGGTACACCGGATTTCACCCGGGGTACCATAGAACTCCCCATATATATATATATATATATTTATTTATTTATTTATGATGGATAATTGTCGTGACAATTGGAAATTAGAATAGATGATGCATGCATGTATCATTCTGTTCCAATATAACAAGTTTCATTTTCTGTTCAAAGAAATACATCAAATAATATATATCTATCTGAAATGGAAAGGTTACTGATAGCAACAACAGAGAGAGAAAAGGGAAGATTTTAGCCAAAGGGAAACCGTAGCTCGGCAGGCACTACTTTGCATAATTGAATCACCCCCGAAAAGGAATATTACTTCTGATTTTGCTGCCAAAACCAGAAATGCGCAAAATTAATTAAAGGACCTCTCATCCCCAAACTCTACCATTTTTCTTTATTAAAATGGAAAAATATATACATTTCCATGTATATATATTTCAGCTCCCCTTCCATCGTTGTTAACAAACAAACAAACCAACAAAGAATTCTCTCAACACCAAACCTTCCAAATCTCTCTCTCTCTCTCTCTCTCTCTCTCCAAAATGGGGAACTTGCTGTCCTGCAAGACGACCACCGCCGGCGGCGGCGGCCACATCATGCTCAAAAAGTACCACTCCGGAAAAATCGCGTCACCGAGGGTGATCTTCCCGACCGGAGAAGTGCGGGCCATCGAGGAGCCGACCAAAGCGGCGGAACTGATGATGGAGGCTCCGAACTTCATGGTGGTCAACGCCGACACTCTCAAGGTCGGGGCCAGGCTGTCCCCTCTGGCGGCCGACCACGGCCTCGAGACCGCCAACCTCTACGTCATGCTCCCATTCCACCGCAAGCACTCCCCCGTCACCGCCGCCGATCTCGCGTCGCTCTTCCTCGCGGCGGCGGATTCCCTCGTCGTCCTCAGACGCCACGGACTCGGGAAAGTCCGCGATCTCCCGTCGGCCGAGACTGATCATCACGGTCACGAGGCCGAACAGACGGCGTCGTATCCGAGGCTGTTGGAAGGGCTGGACGACGAAACGGCGTCGTCGGACGCGGCCCATTTCTTGACCGTGCACAGGTTGTCTATGTCGAGGTCGAGGAAACCGTTGCTCGATACCATCGTCGAGGAGCCGGCCGGCCGTCGTCGTCGCTCGATTTGTTGATCATTTCTTTGGAGTATTTGTAATTGTCATAAATTAGTTACCCTCGAAATCGATACGCTTTTTTTTTTCCCTCTCCTTAATATGCAAATTTATCGTTCCCTTTTTTTTTTCCAGAAAAGTTGGCCGATCAGATGTATATATAATTCGATCTTTAATGAAAAGAAACTCGACTTGATTTCTTAATATATTTTTTCGGGTCTCGTATTTTCGTTAAACATTTTCATTTTTACTCATTCGTTTTAAGTGGTTCAGACACTTGCCAATTACTGTATTTTTTTTTTGTTTTTCATTTTATAGTCTGACCTGTAAATATGTTGTATATGTATATGGGGAAAAAAAAATACGTATGGTACGATGGTGTTTTTTTTACTTATGGTTTGGTGTAACCAATGATGCAAAGGCGACACTGGAAATTTGTTTGGGAAGTCTTGTTTTGAACTTTCAGTTGGACTTGTCTTTTGGCCAACCGACAGGCAATTAGAGTGTATGAATTAGTGAATGAAGGTTGGTTTGGATTCTTCTGGTCGAGTAGCGGATCTGTCAAACCACCGATTTTGTCTTTTTAATTTGTTTATGCGTTTTGATATATAGCAGCATATCGGCAATGTCGAAGTCAGTGTGCATAATTTGCTACGGAAGTTGGTTTACCTTGATAGAAGTGGCAAATATATAATTAAGGCCAGGTAACGGATTGAACGATGATCACCAAATTAAAATGGAATAAGACAACTCATGTGTCAGGTAGGAATTCCTATATGTATATATATCCGTTGCCAAACCTGTCTGTAACGTAGCGACGGAATCCATCCTCGATAGGCAAAATCTAGTTCTGTGCTTGTTCGATGGCGTGTCCGGGGTAGTCAAAATTTTGGTTAAAGTGGGTTCGAAATTTTGGAGAAATTATTCGTCATTGAAGTTTGGAAGTCAAGTTTGGAGTGAAGATTGAAGATTTAGATCATATTTCTGCATTCTCTCTCTTCTCTATGGAGTAACTTCCATTCATTTAGATTTTTGATGAACCTATGTTTGTAATTATGAGAGGGAATACCTGCTGAATAGGTCAATATAGCACCACTTACTGGAGATCATCTCAAATCCAAAGGAATGCAACTTCTTCCATCAGTTAAGGCAATAATAAGAAGGGTTAATACATTATTTTGGTCCGAACTATTACCCAAACTTTCTACTCCGGCTTGTGGTTTCTGAAATTGCTCCTCCGGCCCGAATTATGCACCATACTTCCTTGTTTGGCCCGGCGCGGGTTTTGACCGTCAAATTGGACGGTCAACTCAATTGACCGTTAGTCAAACGCCAAGTCATTAGCCACGTCAGCCAACCTGAAATAAAAAATTTGGATTTTGTAATTTTGTAATTATTTCGTTATCCAAAATTTTGAATTATTATTTCTTATTAATGGTTATTGTTATTAGAAGAAAAAAATGAATTAAATAAATTTAAAATCCAAATTTTTTATTTCGGGCTTGCTGACGTGGCAAGTGACTTGGTGCTTTGACTAATGGTCAACTCGATCAATGAAGTTGACCGTCTAATTTGATGATCAAAACCCACATCGGGCCAAGCAAAAAAGTATGATGCATAGTTCGGGCCAGGAAAACAATTTCAGAAACCATGGGCCAAAATAGAAAGTTTGAGTATACTTCGAGTCAAAATAAGATAGCTAGGGATTGGGAAATTCTCCGTCGAGGTTGTAAGCTAGTTTAGAGCGAGCTATATTGAAAATAGAAATATGCCCATGATTGTGTGGATATCCAAGGGGATGTCAAGCTGAGGTAGTTCGCGCTCAAGTAACTCATTCTACTACCAATAGCCAACCTTGAGGGTACCATTTCGGCAAAGCGGATCTTTGTGCAGCAGCCTAGTACTGCTAAACTACCAATAGTACTAACCAGATGGTAAAAGGAGAAACCAAAAACGTAGTAGTAGTAGTAGTAGGATTCATCTATTCAGTTGCGAGAAACTAAGATGGCTCCATTAAGGTACAAGGACGCAACTAATGTGACTGTTCACATTACAAAATGAGTCAACCAAACCCGCCTAGATTACCATTCTAACTTCCTGTCAAATTGAAATAAGACCCTTCTCTATAGATAATTCCAGAAACTGTATGGCCAAAAGACATCGCACCCCTAGACAGGAAAACAAAAGATTATTTTTCTTGGAAGACGACAACTTACGGTTCCTCCTTCTCTGCAGAGTGCTCAGGTGATGATGGGAGCGGTTGGTCATCAGTTTCTTCTGTTTCAATGGCTTGATCGTTTTGATCCTCAATGGGTTGATCATTTGGAGGCTGTTGTTCCTCCGCAGCGCCTTCTCCGTCTTCAGGATAGAAGTTGATGGGGAATTTCGTAACACGAGGTTTATCAGACAAGATGTTTCTCTGAACCTTATCGAGCAACACCTTAGGTGGAGGCTCCTCTCTTAGCTGCTCGTCTTCGTAGTCATTGTTCACATAGTAGCCAACTCGAACAAACTCCTGGCCCAAATAGGAGCAGGTCAGTAAAAGCACTGTCACCCCTATGATATCTTCCTCACGGATTCTGGATGGGTCAGGAGGATCAGCCTGAAAAGAAGCATCATCCAAGAAGAAATAATGTCAATATTAGTACTTTTGTCTTAACACAGAAAAGGAATTAGGACACAAATTACCTGCAAGACAAAGCGATAGTTCCCAACATTCACTGGTCCCACAAGTACACTTTCTAATAGTTGATCGTATGTTTCATCCTCAGCAGACCCCACATAGGTGAGCTTCCATTCGAGATCTGCAATTTTATATGAAGTAGGGTGTAATTTAAGATAAATGAGGCAATAGTGAAACAGCCTGGATATAGAAGTCAGATAAAACAAAGATGCTACTCTGGATCATCTGACATAAGGAGTGCAGCAACACTACCATGGACAGCCTATCTCAGGCAACCATCTGGAGATGAACACTTAATTTGTTCTATGGTGTAATGTCCATGCTTAAGAGCACACCCGAAATTTCACTGATAGAGTACAATGTTCCTTGAGTCCATGATTTGGAGAACTATGGATCTTATTTCCAAAAGGTATCCTCTAGTGCACTGTGTTCATCAGAAGGATGGTTGTTGTATTTGGGTGAAGCATAATACACAGCAATGATACTAAAAGTGCGAGCATAATCCTTTATCAAAACTATCATATCTCACCAACTCCTTATAGCAGCATGACTGATGGACATCAGAGGGCGCAATGAACTTGGCCAGAATAAGACTATCTAGTAACCACCAAGCCTCAGAGACCTAACCATTACATATATATATCTAAAACGTACCCAATGATGCAAATACCAACATAGCAGTGATTACAACTATTAAAAAGAAACTTCAGGGATAATCCCAAGCAATACACCACATCCTAGGTCATGCTTCACTCTCAGTTAAACCGCGGAATAAAAATAAGTATCATTCATCAAATTTAATACTCAATGGTTTCATTACTTAAGTGCTCTTGGATATTAGGAACTTAGTCAATTTAAAGCACCAAACAAGTAACAAAAGTGCATACGTGAAATTACAAATCTATCATATGCAAAAGCTCCTCTAGCACAAGGTTGCATTTGGATTTCATCAGTTTCAAACACAAATGAGCAAAGAGCTGACAAACACATACACATGGAGCTTAATTAATCTATGGCATTAACAGGAATCACAAGCTAGAGACGCGTCTAAATTTAAACATCTGCGTAATCGACTGAAATCCAAATCCAAAAGGAACCAGTTGAATTCTTTTATTCCATTTCATGAACAGAAATGTACCTTTTAAAAAGTATAAGAGATAATTGAATGGGTAGCAGAAAGGTGAACACCATATAAAATTTAATCCATTAAGGTCAAACTGAAAGCCATGGAGAGACCAGCAGGCCTTCATTTGTAACTTCTAGACTGCGCACAGCACACCGACACTGGGGAATACCAAAGCTCATATAACACCATAATCCAGTGATGCAAGTCAACCAGTCACTTGAGATGAAAAAGAGAACACCTCGGCCAGAATTAAAATCATACAGAATATCAACCAATCTTCAACTAAACATCTATGCATTCCAATCTCCCACCAAGACACTCCACTATCAAAACAAGGACAAGGCAGAAATGACATCCACCATACATAATGAGATCGTATGACCACCCTCATCAACTACAACGAGCTACTTCTAAGCCATCACAATATGTAAGCAGTCAACAACCCTGTATTACGAAACATCAATTCTTACAGGAAACCAGGGGAGCAGAGCAAATCCTTAGAAACCCTAACTCGCACTCAGGTCTAAGCAAACAATGCGACAAAAATCCAAATTGGACTGACCAGGTTAACATAGCGGAAAAGGAAAAGAGTAGTGTTAGAGTAAATAGAGAGAGAGTGAGGAAGGAAGATACCGTCTTTTAGAGGAGTCAAGCACTCGTAGGAGATCTCGAACTGAAAAGGGGAAGAGAAGGGGGCAGGATTATCCAATACAGTGACGTTGGTGATGTTCACAACACTCATCGTCCCACCACAACCTATATCTCCAATTTCTAACTTCTCTGTTACCGAAGATTCATATACGAAAGCTTCCTCACTACACGGAATGGGAAACCCTAGAGATCAGTAGCAGCAGCTGTAGGGAAGAAGGGATCAAATTCCGGCCATTGGAAGCAGGCGGAGGAGGAAAAGGGCAGCGGAATTGGGAATCGGAAACGGGCTGGGAAAGCAATTGGAATTCTGTAGGGGGGAATGAAGGTGTTGGCGAGTGTGTTGAAGGGGAATCAGAGGGCGGGGAAGCGAGAGGACATGGTGGGAGGATTGAGAATGGCGGGAGAATTGCAAAAATGGGCGTATGAAATAACGCAGGAGCGGGAACAGAAGGGGGAATTTCGCAGACTACTAGGGCTGATGTGGAAAAGTTATGCTAAGCATGAACCGGTTTGAAATTGTGTTGTCTGCAAGCTGCATTGTACTCTTTTAAGGGTCGTTTGTTTCATGGATTTGAAAAATGAGGGTTTTGTAAACATTGGGTTTTGGAAACCCATGAATATATATGATGGATTTGGTGGCATTATGGATTTGAACAAGTCTATTGTTTGCTTGATGGATTTGATTATGGACTTTGTTTGATTTGATTTGATTTGTGGATATTAAATACAAATTACCTAGTTACCCTTATTTAATTATATTTCTATATTATAATCCAAATCTTTCATTTAAAACTAATCCAAAACATAGAAAGAAATTTTAAACTCTTTACCACTATGTGGATTAATAATTCAACTACAAATATAGAAATGTATTACAATTTGGCACTAATTAACAATTCATCTAATAATGTACGCAATATTATGTATCAATTGCAACCAATTGCTCGCTTTATTGCTACAACTCATCATCTTCTTGCTAACTCACCGATGTGGAATCCGAAAATCAATCAAATAATAATGTACAAGATGAGCATAAAGTGTTTCAAGGTGAATCTAACAAATCACATATACATTCATATTTAAATAAAATATGATATTACAAAATGAAATGATAAATTCTCATATTTATAAAATACGAAATTATAAAAGTTTACAGTTGCATGACCATTGAATTAAAGTAGGACAAATTTGTAATTAAAGAAATAATTAAGGGTAGAAAGGTAATTTACCATCATGGATTTTAATCCATCACCCAAATCCCACCTCAAGAGGTGGAACTTCCAAGTCCGTGGGGTCCACGGATTTGGAACTCCAAAAGAGATGGGCCCCACAAATTCCATCTCCCTAATTCTCTAAGGCAAACGATGGATTTCGGTTCAAGTCCATGATGGATATATTTCCATCACCAAATCCATCACCAAAACCCTCAAGCAAACCACCCCTTAGTTTTTAGTTTGGCAATGAGGGGTGCAAATTTGAGAAGGTGCAAGTTGAGTGGTAAATTATAGTGGGATGCAAATTACAGAGAGTGTAAATGAATGGGTAAATTGTTATTTGAATGAAAAAGTAAGAAGTGCAAATAAGTTTAAATGTCAATATAATATTATTATAAAATAGATTTCTTAAATTTATAAAATATTATCACAAAATAATAAAAGAAAAATAATTATATAATAATTAATATAATTTAATAAAAATAATTATTATATGATAAAACATAGATGAACATTGATAAAATTGTTTCCGGAGTCAAACGATCAACTCCGAACAATGTCTACATTAATAATAATTATAAGAAAAGAAATTGACAATATTAATTATTATATAATTATAATTATATAACTATAAAACAATTAAAAATCCAAATTTCCCCTCTTCCCCCCTCCTCTCTCTCCCTTGCTTCCCAATTTAGAGGGTAAGCCGAAATAGTAACTTTGCACTTTCGTTTTGCACCACCTACCTTTACAAATTATCCAAACAGGCGCAAATGTGTTGGAAATTGTGTTTACCCCTCCCCATTTGCACACCCCTTCCATTTGCACCTCTTCCCAAACATAGTGTACGAGAATATGATCTCGACTTCATTAATCAGATAACGCGGTTACATTGTCTTGCTGCAACTAATTAATAAGTAAACTAGGCAAACTATGTCACCCAAGTCGAGCCTCAAGGTAGCATATATGCTCTGGGGGTCTCTCCAACTAGAGATAATGATATCGTTCGAAACTGGATTCCTTCTGATATATTGAAGATAACCTGCATAAGAAAATCCAACGGTGGAAGTCTCAATCCAAATGCTGAGGGAGGTCTAGGTTTACGGGACCTTGATAGTGACAATATTGCCCTCCTAGCTAAACAGGCTTGGCCGATTGTCCAAAATTCGAATGGTCCCTTTGCCATCAATTATAAAGGAAGGTATTTTCCACATTCTTCATTTCTACTTGCTCCACGGGGTTCTAGGCCTTCCTGGGCTTGGCAAGGTATCCTTGTGGGTCGCTCTCTTCTGCAATCTGGATTTTGTTGGCGCATTGGTTCTGGTGCTTCGGTGCACATCTTGGAAAACACATGGCTGCAGACGACCTTTCCTTCTCGGCCTATTCTCCTGCCTAATGTCTCTTTACCTTGGCCCCATGCATCTTCTTTGATTGATCATCGATCCGGATGTTCGAAAGTGCCTCTCATCACCTCTCTATTTGATGTGGATACGGTCAAAATTATTATATCTATTCCTCTTCCCATCTTTCTCGTGTCCGACCGTCTTGTGTGGTACTATGAGAAATCAATTGAGTACACTATCAAGTCATGATATAAGGTGGCCCTCTTCCGATTATATTCATAAACCTTACACCATTCCTCCGATCTTTGATTCTTCGACTTGAAATTTGTATGGTCCTTGAATGTTCCTCCTAAATTATTGTGGCGTGTCATTAAGGCTATCTTCCCTTGAGAGATATAGTTATAGAGAAAGTACTAATTGAAGATGAGGATTTGGAGGCAGTAAAGTGCTTTGTTTGTTAGGAAGCTCCTGAGACTTTATTGCATTCGTTTATGCACTACAGGGTGGCTGTGGAATTTTGGACCCTTGTTGGTCTTAATCATTTACTCTTACAGGTTTACAATATGCATGTATCTGTGAGCTGGAAGTGAGGTTTTTTCATGCAGGTATATCCAAAGAGGTTCTCAGCCGGCTAGTCTTTGTGTACTGGCGCATTTGGATGGCTCGGTGCTCTACTACTTATGATCATGTTCAATTCCTTCCAACCACCATGGTGCGATATTACTGAACTCAAGTGAAGGAATGGTCCTCTACTCCATAAGCTTTGGCCGCCTCCAATTATCGTCGTGCTAATGTTCCTTCTGGGATTCGCAGTCACACTCCACCACCAATTATGTCGGGTTCTTTCTTAGTCCATTTTGATGGCGCGATGAAAACCTCTATTGTGGAAGGAGTTGGCTTCGTTGATCATACAGGACCATATGATATTCACTTTGATTTTTTGAAGTTTTACGACTATCTGTATGACACATTCATCATTGAGCTCATGTCCCTATGGGATGCTCTCCAGTGGTGTCTTTCTAAATCGATCTCTAATGTCTCATTGTGTAAGGATTCAAGCCATGCTTTGGGTGGTAGCCCCCTCTTATAGATTTATATGCTTCGTGTTTCCATGCAGCGTGCATCGTTCCAGTTCACTTCGTTTAAGTACAATAAGGATGCTCATATTTTGGCAAAACAAACCCTCTCATCGTTGGATCGTCGGTTGGTCGACCAACTGCTCTTCCTTATTTATTCTTTGTAATTGACCTGCAAAGGTCCTTTTATTATGTCATATCTGTTGTATTCCATTTCGGGATATCTTTGGCAAAAAAAAAAAAAAACTAGGCTGACTATCAAACCAAATCATTCTTTCACCCCATCTGGTCTCCTCATGCGCCATTAAATGTGCTGCTTCATTTGCCTCTATGTTTATGTGCTTCCAAGAGCTATCACCTGATCCCTGTAGATATCTTCTTGTGCAACGACAAAACGCTCCCAATTCATCTTGTATGGCATCAGGCGACACTACAAGAAAACTGCCATTTAGTGTAGGTTATTTCTTATGTTTTGTGTCGGTTACAACCGACACAAATTGTTTTAGTGTCGGTTCACTTAACCAACGCGAAACCCGTCGACACTAATCAAATTCGTGTCGGTTTTGAGCAACCGCCGGAGTAACCGACTTAAATTTATTTTGCGTCGGTTCTAACCGACTCTAATTATTTATTGAAAAAATCCAATTTTTATATTATATTCATTATCTAAGTCGGTTCAACCGACTGTATATAACCGACCCAAATCTGTCAAAAGAAAAAAAAAATTTGCCCCACCGCCGGGCGCCGACTACCCTTCTCCCCCTTGGTCAATTTGGGGAAGCGGCGGCGGAGAGGAGAGCGAGCAGAACCAGAGTCACGGACAGTCAAAATTTTCACCGCCGGCCAAAATTGCTTCCAGATCGATGCTGCCTCTCCACCTACCCAATGTCCCCTGTCATTCCCTTCCGCCAAACCCAGGTCGAGGTGCCGAAAAGCAATAGAAAGATCGAGCTAAACCCACATCGACCGAAGGTTGTCGAAGCCGGCATGAAATTCCCTCCGCCGCCTCGTCAGATCGTGGCCGTCCAATCTCTTCATCGTTCATCACTGAAACCCCCAAAAAACCCAAAACATGCAATCACCAAGCCGAACAATTGGAACTCTCAAACACAGAACCCGACCCTTTGAAACCCATAATAAACAACCCTCAAACCCATAAATCAAAACCCTCGGAATCCATTCAACTGGCCTCTTTTCATCCTCTTAATCCAGAAAATCAAGAAATCAACACCAGCCTTCGATTTTGGAGAAGCGCAGGTGAACGAGCATGCATATGTTAAGGAAACATCCCCAGATCAAGCGCTGGGAAGACAGATCGAGTGGTGGATCTTCTCCTGTTGCTCTGCAGCTCAGAGAAAAACAGATCTAGCGGCTGGTCTTCTTCGGTTGTTCTCCAAGGTGGCGAGCAATTTCTGGAGATTGAAGGAAGTGGCGATTGCTTGCGGCTGCTCGACGAAGAGGAGATCTCGATGACGGCAGGGGAAGCGCCGGAGAGGAGGAGAGAGGGCAGGGGAAGCATCAGAGATGAGGAGATCGAGGGTTGTTGGGTTTGTTCGTCGGAGAGGAGAGAACACATGGGAGGAGAAGAGGGTTGCTGGGTTTCCATTTGTTCGTTGGAGAAGAGAGAAGGCAGGTGTCAGGTGAGGGAGAGAGATGAGCACAAGGGAGGAGGATCGTGATATGTTGGGTCTGGGAAAAAGAAGATTAAATAATAAAGGAAATTGGAATGGGCGTCATATGAAAATTAGAATGGTTGAGGTGGAATTTTTGGGCGGGTAAGGAATTTTGGCCGCTAAAATTTTGGCATTCATTTAAGACACTAATTGGGCGGTAAATGGAATTGTGTCGGTTCAGAACAAAACTGACCCAAAGAAACAATAGTTGTGTCGGTTACAAGTAAAATCGACTCAAATATTCTGATAATTGTGTCGGTTTAATTTTAACCGACGTAAAAGTGGAGAAAATTGTGTCAGTTAAGTAACCGACACAAATCTTCGACACAAAATAGAATTTTAGTGTCGGTTAAGTGAACCGACTCAACTCAACCGACACTAAACCTCTGTTTTCTTGTAGTGCGATCGCAGCTTGCGTAGCAAATTCATGTAGTCCGTCTCGAGATTTACATTGGCGAAATTAAATTAAAATGCAAGTGGGCCCCCATCTCCGCCGCCAGAGCTTCTTTTGCATATTTGATCACCACTCTAAGCCCGCACACCCTTGTCCAAGAATCCCTGCGTATGTGCACACAGATATAAATCCCTTCGGTGGCTTCCACCGTGACCTTCTCTCTACTCTATCACTAGGGATTATTTTCAAGATTTGATGCTACTTATAATTCGCTAATAGGTACTTTGCACAAAATGATATCTCCTCTTCGGGTAGTTTAGCTCCATTAAATACGTGAGCATTGCTTTCCTTCCAGAGATACCAAAGCAGCCCACACCATTCTTCAAACTGACCTGGTTCTCCCATATCCAATACCTTCGCACACCACTTCTGGCACGGATCAATGCCTATAGCAAGAAATAGGCAGCCACGTCAGACTTCCTCCAAATTTGGGATGTCCATTCACACTCTGAGAATATATGGCTCTAGGTCTCTGGTTGGTTGCAGAACGGGCACCGTCGCTCTAACATGGGCTACTATCTACAGGCCCCATCAGAAGAATCTCCTTAGAAAATTTCCACAAAAATTGTCGAACCTTGGGCTGGACACCCAGACTCGATAGCTGCTTCCACATCTTCGCTTCTCCCATCACTAGCACTCCATTTTTTGCCAGCTTTGATAGCCCTCTTTGAATGTGTACATCCTTGTCTTGCTCTCGTGCCAAATTATCTTGTCAACCTCGTCACTGCCACGTAAAGGAATTTGGCAGATGACCATCACCACATCCATAGGGAAGCATGCCTCAAATAAGGTGTCATCCCAGGAGCCCGTATCGTGGTCAATTAGCTCGCTGACATAGGATTCAACCAGGAGACCTACTAGAGTTGAAGTGACAAACTGATGGACTGTGCCCGGGATCCAACGATCTCCCAAAAACCTCACTTTCTGCCCGTTCCCAACTCGCCGACGGAGTCCGCTATTTAGGAGGTTTTGCAAACTAAGGAGCCTGAGTCGGACGAAGCTCGGGTGGTAGCCATTTTTTGCATCCAGTATTGATGTTCGCTTACGATACTTCGCCTCTAGGATCCTTGCTATTAACGAATCTAACCACTGTACCAAGTTCCACATTTACTTAGCTAGCAACACCTCATTGAAACCCTTGAGATCCCGGAAGCCCATCCTACCATCCTTCTTAGAGCTGGCCATTTCTTCTCTTCTTAACCCATGTTCTCGTCTCTCTTCTCCCTTTTGGCCCTACCAGAATTTCATTATTGAGCTATAGACTTCACAGTCACTCCATCCACGACTTTGAAAATTGACTTGGCATAGGAAAATTGAGCTTGTGCAACCGATTTGATCAACACTTCCCAAGCTGCCAACGAGAGGGTTCACTCCTTCCATCCATTAACTCCTTATGCAATCTTGCTTTAATTTCCTCAAAAAGTTCCTTCTTTGATCTCCCCTCTTCTGTAGCAAGACCCAAGTATTTGTTATGCTTGCTAACCCGTGTCATCCTAAGCACCCCCAATCTCCAGGTGGCGGTCAACAGAGACATCATCACTAAAGGAAACATTAGATTCTCGGAATTGACTTTATGCTCCGATTACCTTTCATAAACGGTTAGGATGCTCTTCAATACCTCAGTCTCCTGGATCGTGGACCTGGCAAAAAAGATACCATCATCAGCGAAAAAAGGTGTTATGCAACCAGGGGCCCCGAGAGCCAGTTGTATCCCATGTATTCTCTTTTCTCTCACTACTAATGAAGTGTACGCTAAGATCCCTTCGGCGCACAAGATTAAAAGAATGACAGTGACAAACACTATAAATAAAGTGTCATCAACCATCCACTTGGATTACGAGGATATAATGGGTAAAAGTGTCAATTCATGGTTTGAATGCCAAAAATAAACAGTCAAACACCCGTTTATCTCTTGCATAATCTATTATCATGCAAAAACACTTACCCATGATTTTTGCCAATCACTGTCAGAATAAACTACGATAGGTAAGCAAAGGATCCTACCAAATATCCATAAAACTCAACCATTGTTTTCTGCTTTTTATAATAGTGGTATAATTGTATTACCAAACAAACAAAATTAAAAAGTTCAAAATCAAAAGGACACAAAAACATTCCGTTAGGAGACCACCCTATTCAGAAGGCGCAACATCGAAGGTCATATCATGTTTGAAGCCCATAGAATGCACTTAAAAGTCTCTAACTCTGACACAACTCATGGATATCAAAACATGATCAGTTTCTTCCACAACTCAAATAACCCTCCAAACCTCAGTAGGGGAAACAATATACGAATAAAACATACATTTCACATATGCATGAGTCCAGACTAGTACTTAAAACCATCCAGCCTTAGTGTATTGTCCACCTCTTGAGGTCATACCAATTCATGTATGATATCTTGTGCCTTATATTATATCCATGGAAATTCTTTACTTCCACAATGATAGCCTTTACATTGATCTGAGGTTGTCCTCTCTATAGGGTTTTCAAATCCATAAGTATGTCTAAAATCAGAGGAGCAACGCTCTATTTATAGAAGATAGGTGGCAAAGTCGAGTTTGCGACCTTTCCATGGGCAATTACAGCTGTGAACTTATTCTCTAGACTGCAAAGTCGATACGATGACATGTTCAGCTAATCAAGTGAGAGATCACAGCCTGAATTTCGCAGTCGCGAACTAGAAGTCGATCTTGTGATCTTTCTCGCAATCTCATGCTTGAAGTCCCGCGAGGTAGATTGCTAGACTTTCTGTACAATTTGTCCACAACTTCTCCATGCTTCCGGCTCCAACGATCAGAGATCGCGGTTGTGAACTTACGCCTCAGCCGTGAATTCTTCGTGGCATCCATCTTCTCACCCGTGAACTTCGCCCTCTGGTCGTGATCTTTTTTATTTTTTCCTTTTTGCACATTTTTCCTACTCTTGAGCCGAATTCTTAGACATAAAACACTTATAATCTGAATTGACACTTAAAACGCTACCAAAATACAAGGGGAAGCATTTCTAGGTCAAATCAAGAGTTAAATAATCCATGAATGTTGTAATCCGCAAAAAAAAAAAAAAAAATACACCCAAGAAATGTGGGCTAGATAACACCATCTTAGGTGTTATTAATTGAACACCAAGCTACATAATTAACATTGGCCTCGTAGGCAAAAATCATAGTCATATAATTTGCTAATCTGGCGATAAAATAGTAAAACTGGTTTTCAAAGTATTATTTCAATAAGATGGTGAGAAAATATTCAAGATTCTTGTATTACCGAAAAAATGTAGAGACTAAATTTTTTAAATAATTTTTAATTTTCTAATATTGAGTAAGCATAAAATATTTGCTTTGCCAATCTATCCGATAAAAATAGAAAATGTTTGACAATCTGGCAAACAGAAAATTTTTGACAATCTGGCAAACAGCTAATCTTTTATTAAAACTACTATTTATGCAATAAGAGTATTGGGTACTTTGTCTATATACTACTAAGCAACACAAATTTTCCAGGTTACGGCACACTAATATACATGTCAAGTAATGTGTATTGGAAAGACATTTATATACATTCCAAATAATTAGTAATAGATAACTCTTAGCCAGATATATTTTTGACAAAAATGTATAAAAATTTATTAGGAAAACCAAATATATCAATAGTATAAACTTAAAATAGAGTCTATACACAAATGAAAAGACTCAATATCGTACCCGAATTATGGTCATTCCCGGATTTGCTACACGTCCTTACACTATAAATCCATTGGCAAGTGCATCAAATGAAAGCATCAATCCATCTTGTCTTCTACACTCCATAATTCATACCAAGCATCCCACATAACCATTTTTTCCCTCCGAGTTCCCCAAATGGAGACGAACAACCACAACACAAACATTGTCATCAAGAAAACAAGAGGGAGGCAAAAGATCCAAATGAAAATGATCGAAAAGGAATCCGATAGGATGGTCACCTTCTCAAAGCGTCGGGCAGGAATCTATAAGAAGTTAAGTGAGTTTGTCACCTTGACGGGCAGTGAGGTAGGATTTTTGGTATTTTCTCTTGCAGGTAAACCCTTCAGTTATGGTGATCCTTCCTTTGAGGACCTTGCACTTCGATACCTAGGCCACCTACATGAGCCCCAAATACCTCTCAATCAAGGGATGTACAGGCAGGCTAGGATCCAAGAGCTACTATGGACCCACAACAACCTACGGGAATTGATGGAAGAGGAAGAGAAGAAAAAGAAATTTTTGAGGGGAAAGCTCGAGAGAAAGCCAATGAATAACTGGTGGAACAAAGGGGTTGGCGAGGTGGAGGTGGAAGAGCTTTCGGATCTTGAGGCTGCCTACTCGGATGTGTTGATGAAGGTGGAGAATAGGAGGATGGAAGTGATTGGCCTGACCAATAACATCAATACTAATGGTATTGTTGGTGCTTCCTCCTCTACTGGTTTCGCACCTTCTTAAGATCAATTTATGAGCATGAGATTGACATTTGCGCAATTGTCTTAATTTTTTATTAGTGTCATTGATTTTCCAGTGATTTAGGTGCAACACATTAATCTATGTTCTTTTTCATAGTTACATTAATATTTAGTTTCATTGAAAAAGTTATGCAAAGTTCATAACATGTTTCTTAGGCAAGTGAGTTTGGCTTCTTGTTTAAAATGCAGTACTAATTGTCTAATAAACAATCGCGAGGAATGATGATCTATCTCCTCTAAAAATTTGAAGGCAAAAATTCAAGTACTTTCATATTGTTCTACAAAATGAAGGGATAAGATAAAAAAAAATTTGCCGCAAAAGATATAAAAAATTATGAGTAGTATCTATGAAATAAAATCAATATTTTTTTTCATTCGGTTTACCACCATTAATGTGATATTGATTATTTCAAGTAGTGGTTGTGGTTTATAAGGCCAACTTACTCATATTAATTAAAAATTGATTTAAGTTGGGACTAAGTGGTGCTCTTTTAGACTACGTGATGCTAGGCACCTCGGCACACATCCCTCAAGGCTCAACCCACCAAGCACCCACCTGTCAAACATGGCTAAGTGCTGAGATCCAAGCACTAGGGTGTTATGTATGAATTCATCTAAGGTGTCTCACCATGATGTCGTGCAAAAAGGGCCATCACAAATACCCTAGTTAAGACCCAACCACTACCATCTTGTCAAGACCCTATAAGCAAGATGCCACCCCAAGGGGAAAGTGTGCATACATAAACACCCTGATGTTAAAATATCAAGTGGCATGCAAGCAAGGCGGTTAAGGCGTTAAGCAAGCTACACCAAACACCAAGCAAAGTCAAGCAAGCTACAATGGAGGCTCTGGTACAAAGAGGCGGTTACAAGTGATGGCTATAAATAGGAGAAACAAAGACAGAGCAAGGGTTCCAAAACTAAACATTTCTCATCACATTCAAACTTTACCTTTTCTCTAGAATGTAGTCATATATATAGCTTTTAGTTTCTGGAGCTCTCACCGAACCTGTATAAAAGTAGAGTAATGTACCTTAGCTTATTCACAAAAACCATAAAAAATATCAAACACCCTTGTTCGAACATTGTTCAGAGAGGTGTGAACCATGTTATTGTCTTTGTTCAAGAAGTCAATGGTGCAAATCATAGAATTCAAATACAAGAGTTTCCTTGCCAGAAAAAAATTGGCACACCTGGTGGGACGCGAACCCACAATCGTTTGATTAGAAGTCAAAGATGATGATGTGATAGAGAAGAATATTCTTAGTAGACAGTTTCGTTGTCGGGATTGGAACATTAGTCAAGCTAAATCCACAATTGTTGCTTCTGCTGTCGCATCAATAATCCTCGTCTCAAGATGAAGCACTACAAAATCGTGTGGGTGTGCAGACACCAGACATAAAATGTCTTTGATGACACCTTCTGGGAAACTTTGGTTGTTGTCATTAATGACTTGGACAATGTAAACGCATGACTGTATGTTAATCAAATCTGCTTGTATCATGTCCACAAGCCATTTCTTGAGTCTAGGACCTTAGATGCCATATGCAATACTCAAATGGGGATTTTCCGGCTCTCTTCTATGGTACTTAGATTAAATTAATTATTACATAAGTTTATTTTGGGATTGAAGACAAATAAATGAATGAAGGGTATTAAAGTAAATTTAACTTAGTTAGGATGACAAATAAAGAATTTTAGGGCAACGAATAGCAATGTCAAAAAAAAAAATCCCACACTTTCCTTAATTTTCGGCAGGGGCATATTATTCATGTTACTCTCCATAATCCCGCCCAAAAATGCGGCGGTTTCTTTTTTTACTTTGCCGACAGTTTTTTTTTTCAATAGATCACTCTTCAAAAGAGGAAATCGTTTAGATACAAAGTCACAGAGAGGATCAAACATCCCTCGAACGAAGCCAAGAACAAAAGTCGAACCTCTAAAAAGTTTGAGGTGACAAACTAAGAGCTTTACGGGCCACACAATGAGCCGCTCTATTTCGAACTCTTCCCAAGAACTGAACTTGGGAATTGACTACCCCATCCAAAAGACCAAAAATATCTTGCAGAATCACCCCGATCTTGCTATCATCCACATCCCTAGCCAAGCACTTATCTATAATCAACTTGGCATCACCCCCAAATAAGACACCTTGTAGCTATCGTTGAAAACAATAGATAAGACAATCTCTTAATCCCAAAGCCTCAAGCACATAAGGATCTGAAATATCATCGTAGCGACGAGCAGCAGCTCCAAAGAAAGCACCCAATGGATCGAACAAAACAAAACCAATGGTTCCAAATCCCTGAGTAGAAGTCGCAGCATCAAAGTTTGCTCGCCAACACGGAGCCTGTTGGAATACCTGCAGATGGGTAGAAGAAGGTGGTGCCATCTATTAGCAGAAGGGAGCAACACAGCCTTCTCGTATTCTTGAACTTGACGAGACCATTGAACAGCCTTCTCGTATTCTTGAACTTGACGAGACCATTGGAACACAACCATACACCGATTCTTCCATAATCTCCACAATAAACAAATCACCTGTAAAATGAAGTAATCGGCCTTGGAACCCGTAGCTTGGTTGAGGGTATAGCGAATAGATCCCACAAAGTACCTTTTCTCTGTCTGTTGCCAAAAAGCCTGCAGACCCAACAACCTCCAAAATTTGCGAGCAACTAAACAATTGAAGAACAAGTGTTCAATGGTTTCTTCCTTTGCCGGTATTACTGTTATTGGACCCAATTTCAAAGCCCACTTCTTAGTCCAAATCGTTAAAGAAGATTTGGCTGTTTTGAGGTTTATGAAAAAAATTAGTAACTAATTTTTTTATTCGTAGTACCTACTAACCTACAAATTAAGTTTCAATAAGAAAATTATAGGTAATAAAAGAAGGAAAATAATAGTGTGAGATGTATGTTATCATTGTTATGAAAGGGAAGAGTGGATAGAAACTTAAATCGCCAAGTGCGAGAAACACAATTATTTGGAGTTCTATTATTATATTAGGTAGGATAATTGTTATTATGGTTAGTAGAGATTTAGTCCAATTAGGTATTTCGTTAGGGTTTTCCAGTATTTCCCTATATATATGTACTTTGGGTTTACGTCATAATCAATCAAGAACAATATTCAGAAGAATCTCCTAAACCCTAGTTTATCCTCTCAACTCCTAATTTCTCGTCTCATCCTAGTCCAAGGCCTCGGCCGATTCCCAATTCTATTCTATCTCATCTAAATCCCTAATTCTTTCTCTCAAACCCTAAATCCCAAATTGTCACGAGTGCCGAAGATCAGTATCGAGAATCCCTAGAAGCGTGGTTCCCACAATTGGTATCAGAGCCCGGTTGTGGCACTCGTACCATGGTTTTGACCAACCTCGAAGAGCTCTCCGTAAGAGAACTTACAAAGCTTCTGAAGTTGAAGCTGGAAGAAGTGACTAGGAACGAGGTTATCTCATCCTCGCCGCTGTCCGGGAATATCGCGCAGGATGCTCCACCCAAAGCCGCAGCCGTCGCGTTCAAGAAACCGTTGCAGAAAGACCCACAACCATTATCGAAGCCCGCAGCTGTAGAATTGGATTTCGACGATTGGTTGGAACAACCTGCGTTCCCAATCAAGCTCGAACGAGATGTGAACAAGCTCGTGATGATGGAGACGGCCGATGCCTCTCCTGCGACACCACCATCAGCATCATCACGAGCCGTTTCCCTACCCGTCAAAGCGGCTGCCGAGATCCTCGAACAACCGCAAGCTGTTGTGATCACCGCCGAGTTGCCGAGGAAGGAAACCCCAGTGCAGCTGCCGGAATCTACAGCTACTGTTATTACTCCACCATCCTTGTCGGAGGCTACAGGTGAAGCCACGACGTTGCTAACCAAATCGGTGGAGGGTGAGGAGAAAATTCACCTCGAAGTCTCCGGAAACAGAAGTTCGCAGGAGCAGGTACGAGCTACAATGGATTTGGAAGAATGGTTAGAACAACCAATGTTCCCAATCCCATTTGTTGATTCCTGGAAACTCACGAAGAAAGAAGCAAGGGATCCACCATCGACCGGTGCTGCCTTGGCAACCGCGCAGGCAGATTTGGCTGCGATGAAGAAAGAAGACCCGGGAGCGAGTCCCGAAACGACAAGGGATCTCCTGAATCCGGCCATCCCACCGCCGCGGAAACCACCAGACCATCGACAATCGTCGACCCCGAACCTCGCCACCTACGAATGCGAAGAGCCAGAGAAGAAACCACCGGCGGAGAGGAAGAAGGAGGGCGACATTGGCAGCGACCGACGACATGAGGCAACGAAGAGCTTGACGGCGGGAAACGAGTCGGAGAAGGAAGAGGTCTCGCCGGGGATGAGCATCACACGAGGCAAACAGCGATCCTCGGCGATCGTCTTCGTGGCCATGGCAGACGAAGAAGCGGCGTTGAAGACCAGGGCGGAGTCGTGCCGGCCTGGTTCGCCGCCGAGAGAAAAGGAGCCAGAGAGCGCCGCTGGGGAAGAAGCAGAGAGGCGGCGATTGTCTTTTGCTAGCAAACCTAGGACGCGTCACACAGCGGCCAAAACAGCTGGGCCGAGCTTTGGTTCAGTTTGCCGGGTCGTTGGGCCAAGTGAATTGGGCCAAGAGAAAGATTGTTCGTGGACCGCAATCAGCTGGCCTATTTGCTGAGGAAGTTGACGGGCTAGGGAGATATATGGATCTTGTTGGGCTTCGAATGGGCCGAGGTGATCTGCAAGGAGAGTTTGAACTGGGCCAGACGAACAAGCAAGACGGGCTGATGTTTGGAAAGACTTGGGCCAAGCAGAAACAAGGCCATGGATCGAACGAAAAAGAGGTTGGCCCTCTATTGGGTTGTATGGTTAAATGTATTTTATATGGTGCAGGTTTAAAAGAGTGGGAAGATGATGATAGCTTCATGGGCCTAGGAGTTGGGCTTCCAAAAGACTTTAATTCAAACTCACTTAGAGAAGAATGGGGCCCAAAAGA